ACATTTAAAGCAGGAAAAAGAAGGAACACTTCTCCCCTCATTTTAGGAAATCGACATTGTCCTAATACTAAAACTGGATAAAGCTAATAGAAGAAAAAAGTATGAACATAGATAGAAATTTATTTCACAAAACAAACTATTAGAAGTCAGATCTGGCAGTATGTAAAAAGTGGTTTTGTTATAGGGATGGCAGTGTTGGTTCAGCATTGGAAGATCCACCCCCAACAGTCATCATTTTAACAGAGGAAAGGAAAAAGCCATATGATCCTGTCACTAGTTGGAGAAAAAGTATAGGACTAAATTTTGCAGCTGTTCATGGTAAAAGCTATCAGGAGACTAGAAGTAGAACAGAACCTTCTCAACAGAGAAGCCATGTACTCCATACTTCCAGCAAAAATGCCTTATATGAATGGAGAAGATACAATGCTTTTTCCCTAAGGTGGGGAACAAAGGCAGATTTGCCTACTCTTTATCTGTCCATTAAACTTTGAAACATAGGCCCAAACCAAAATAGTCTGGCAATAAAATGACACAATTAGGATAGGATTGGAAGGTAGAAGTAAAACATATGTAGATGAAATGATCATCTACAGAGAAAATGATAAAAAAAAATCTCCAGGAGCCCTTAGAACTTGTATTTAAATTTAGCAGGATTAGAAAACATAAGGTATATATATAAAATTCAGGTCTATGTATACTTTCTATAAATGAAGAATTGGATATTGAAATGTAAAAGTTATGTAGGAGTACAAAGGACCTAGAAAAGTAAAAAGAAAAAGACAGCAATGTTGGAAGATGTTTAGTACCTAATTTTAAGACTTCCTCTAAAGCTACAGTAATCAAGGCAGTTTTGGTGTAAGGAAAGACATATAGATCATTTGAATAAAATAGAGAATCTAGAAATAGAACCACACATATATGGTCCACTGAATTTTGAAAGATTATTTAACATTAACATTTTATAGAACATAAACTCAATTCAAGAGCAGAGGAAAAGATAGTGTTTTCAGCAAATGGCCCTAGAACACCTGATAACTGAACGTAAAACATTAACCTCAACCCTTTATTTTCATACATAAAAATAACTTGAAAGGATCTATGAACCTAAATATGAAAGACAAAAAGTGTAAAACTTTAAGAAGAAATTATAAAGGAAAATGTTTATGAATTCAGGGTAGGCAAGAATTTCCTAGGATATAAAAAACGTATAAAAGAAAAAAATTGATAAATGAGATTCCAACAAAATTTAGAACTTTAAATGACATGGTTAAGAAAATGAAAAGTAGTCCTTAAACAGACCATATTTATAATGCATATAACCTATGACCGGAATATATAAAGAACTCTTACAGCTCATTAATAGATAACCCAATTAAAAAGTAGGCACAAGATGATAAATAGCCAGTACAGCACAAGGAAAGGTGTGCAACACTAGAATCAGAAAAATACTGATTTGATGCAGTTTTAAAGGTACTGGTTTTAAAATTCAATTTCTGATTGTTCATTGCTAATACAGAAATTTAGTTAATTTTTATATACTGATCTTATATCTTATAACCTTGCTAAACTTACTAGTTCTGTTATGTTTTTATAGAGTTCTTAGCATTTCATATAGACAAAATCATGTTGTCTACAAAGAAAAATACTTTTACTATTTCCTCTCCAGTCTGATTATCTTTTTAATGTTGCTTTTCCTCCTTTTTAGTATTGGCAAGAAGTTTTAATATAATATTGAATAGAAGGATGACAATAGACAGCTTTATTTTGATCCTTATGTTAGGAGTGTCTTTCATCATTGAGGAATTGTTAGTTGTAGATTTTTCATAGTTGTCCTTTGCTGAAGTTTTTTCTATTGTTAGTTTGCTGATTTTTAAAAATCATAAATATGTATATGTTGGGTTTTCCCAAGTATTTTTCTATTAGCTTATATGATTACATGATTTATATCTTTTAAAATTATATTAAGATGATGAGTTACATTGATTGATTGGCCTTTAAAAATTAAGCCAACCTTACATTTTAAGGATGAACCTTCCATGAGCATGTGTATTGCCTTTTTAAGAATTTTGTATCTGTTTATGAGGGTTAGTTCCTATAGTTTCTGTTAGTTGTAATATTTTTGTGGAGAGTTGAGAACCCTTCTATTTTTGAGTTTTTGTAGAATTGATATTGTTCCTTACCTGTTTAATAGAAATCACCAGTGTTACACCATCTGGGCCTTGCATTGTATTTAGGGAAGGTTTTAAATTGTATTTCTTTAATTGCTATATAGGTGTTCACATTGTCTTCTTATGGCTGTTTTGGTCAATAATACTTTGCAAAATATTTGTCTATTTCATTTCAGTTGAATTTATTGGTATAACTAGCTAATTTTTTAAAACATTCTTTTAATGTCTGTAGGATCTGTTCTGATGTCCCCTGTGTTGCTCCTATTGTGCTTCTTTCTTTTATCCAAATAGATACCGATATTGAAAAGAAAGGGAATCTAAATTTTACCCCATGCCAAAAGCACTCAAACAGAGTTGAAAATGAATAATAGATTTAAGTGTAAAAACTCAAACTTATAACACTTACAGAAGAAAAAATAGGAAATCTTTGCAATCTTGAAGGTAGACATTTCCTAGGTTGGACATAAATAATTATAAACAAAAAGAGGAAAAAAAATTTCTGATAAATTGGACTTCATCAAGAGGTAAAACTTAGGTTCTTTTAAAGGTACTGTTAAGAAAACAAAACAAAGCAAAAACTATAGTCTCAGAGGGAGAAAGTATTATATCTGAAAGTGACTTATATTCAGGATACACTGGGAACTCTTACAACCTTATGACAAATAATCTAGCTTTTAAAATGGGCAAAGTATTTGAATGAACACTTCATAAAAAGATGGGTAACCAATAATATATTAGTCACCAGGGAAAAACAAATTAAATCACTATAAGCTAATAATTCACATCTATTAGCATGGTCAAAATTTAAAAGACCCACCATACTAAGTGTTAGATGGGCCTTAAAGCAGTGGAAACTCTTGTATATTGCTAGCAGAAATATGAGATGACATAACCCTTTTAGAAAGCAGTTTAGAAATTTCTTACAAAGTTAAACCGATAGTTACCTTGATGCTATGATACCACTACTGAATATTTACCCAAGAAGAATGAAAATGCATATCCACATCTAGACTTATATAAAAATGGCCATAACAGCCTTTTTCCATCATAGTCCCAAACTGGAAACTACTGGAGTATCTGCCAGTGGGTGAATAGATAAATATGTTATATTATGCTACTCAGCAATAAAAATAATGAACTACTGATGCATGGAACAAGCATGGATGAATCATGAAAGTATACTGAGTAAAAGGGTTCAGACACATGTCTCTACAGTATTATTCATGTACAATTCTGTAAAAAGTAAAATCTAATCCATAGTGACAAGGAGATAAATGATAGCCTGAGGCTGGAGGTTGGAGGTGGAAAAGAAGGTTAACAGTAAAAGATATATGGAGTATTTAAAATGCTTTTTAATTGTGGTGGTAGTTATTGCAAGTATCTTGTCAAAATTATCATATTTTACTTTTAGCATGGGTATATTTTATTATATGCAAGTTATGCTTCAGTGACGTTCTGTTTTCATTATCCAACCTAACTGTGCTTCAGAATCACCTGCACTGTTAAAAAATGCATTTTGTCTACTCCATTTCAGACCCAACGAATCAGTCATCAGCTGTAAGCCTATTTATCTGAGTTTCTGAAGAGTTTTAAAAAGGATTCTGATTCTTAGCTAGAGTTTAGAAATATTTTTTCTTTGCATGATTTTTCATTCTTAAGGCTCCCAATACTTAGGAGCTCAGAGCCAGCTCTATGTCAGCCATTTTACTTGGTTTTGGGGAGAATGAACAAGGGAGACATATGCTATTCTACAACTTGTAATCTGGTAGAAAGATGGGTATTGATTAAACAATAACACAAACGTCTATCTGTAGAAATATAGAATGTTATAAAATATATAGTAAAAACTAAATAGTTTTCTGACCCTTTCATCTTAGTTCAAATCCATACTTTGAAATGTCTGCTTTGCTGAAAACATACAGTATTAAGATAATCCGATGATTATTCATTTGGATGAAACATCTTCTATGCAAACATCTTTTATTAAAGTATTTTTCTCTCAGTGTTAGCATTTTGTATTTTAAAACATTGAGAAGTCTTAAACATTTAACTTTAGTGACAAAACATTAAAAAATCATTAACAGCAAATATTTGTATTTATCTGAGCCTTTGTGATTGTCATTCAGTTATGTGCTGTACAATATTTCATTACTGAAACAAAAATGCAACAACTTGAAGATAGTTTGTTCTAGCAGAGTTTTTGTTTGTGAGACAATGGAAGGGTAATAATGTTGGTATGTATAATGAGTGTTTCTTAAAATATGTTACATATAATACTACATTTAATGTTAATAAGAGTATGTGGGATGGAATTTTGTGATTATGTAAGTTTAGGAGCAGGGTTAAATAAACACTTTTAACTCAGGCTCATCAGAACCTTTACATGTTATGTTACGTTCTGAATCTTTCAGATTGAGCTATAGTACACAATGGCTCTTCATTTGACAGTGAAACACTTTTTCCTTGGCCTGTATTTCCATAGTTGATATCTATTCAGATAAATAAATCTGTAATAGTACTTAAAAATCATAATTATATATATATATTTTTTGGTACTGGGGATCAAACTTGGGTCCTTGCGCTTTGCGCAGCAGGGGGCGAAACCACTGAGCTAAATCCCTGGCCCCATGATAGTATATTTTTAAAGTGCATGACTATTAATATAACAGGGTAGAAAATGATTGTGTCATTTATAGGTGCTAGATCTATAAATCTGTTTTGTGTTTGTATATTGAACTGTTGGATGATTTATATACAACGAAAGAATCAGTTTTCCATTCTTGAATGCTTAATTGATGGAGAAGAGAAGTTTATGTTTATCTTCTATTTCAGAACAAAGTAGAAGAGATGATTTAGAAGCTTTAGGTCATATGTTCATGTATTTTCTGAGGGGCAGTCTACCTTGGCAAGGCTTAAAGGTAATTATTTTTGTGTGTTTTCTTATTGGATTTCATAAAATGTTAACATTTATTAAGGTTCTCCTTTTTAAATAATTTTAAAATCACCACATTTCAGGTTTTACTTTTTTCTATTTTAGGCAGACACATTAAAAGAGAGGTATCAGAAAATTGGAGATACAAAACGAGCTACACCAATAGAAGTGTTGTGTGAAAACTTTCCAGGTAATGGGTAATGCCAAATTGATAAAGATGCTTATACACAAAAACTAGAACTGTTAATTTTAATTGCTAAAGTTTATACTTTTTCTTGCTTTAAAAAAAGTGACCACTGTAAGAATCTAAAAGTTTCGAATGGTTATGCATAGACCACAGGGACAGTTTGTACATTTGCTTAGCAAGATGGTATTAGTAGTAAGAAAGTCCATATTTTTAATTTTAGTAGCCAGCTGAGGTATTTTCTTCAGTTAATAAGTTAATAAGTTAAAATGCTTGCTGAGGAATACCACTTAGAAAGCTTTAGAGTACAGCATTAATCATTTGAGGCTGAATATTACCTTCAAAAGGGAAGATTGTTAGTAAGATTTAGTTTTCAATCAGTGTAATCTTACTGACCTACTAATTTTAAGGTAAATTTTATGTTAGTGAGCAGTATAGATTTTTAAAAGTAATTTTGTTTTGAGCAACTCTAAGTAAACCAAAAATCTACTCAGTTATTCTAAATCAATTAAGGGGTAAGAATAATTTGTTATTGTTTAAAATACCAGCTGTAATTTGTGTAGCAAAAGTCAATGAAAAGAGAACTGAATTTGAAGATACAAGACTGAGTTCCAATATCACTTCAGTATTCATTGGTTGGTTCTCCTGTGTAGTGCTGGTGTCATAATATCACCAGTATAATCTGTAGCTCTTCTTAAGTTTGCTTCTTTTTCATTGTGAGCAAACTTTAATTATATGTTTTTCTTTCTTGCTATAACTTTTAGAAGTGGAAGATTAAAGAAATATTGGTTGATAGTACTAGCAATTTAGGTGTATAAAGATCTGCTGACTATGATTAAGAAGCCTATATAAAATTTTTCAGGAAAAGTGGAGGTGCCAAAGCAATTTGAGAGGGTGATTAGCCAGAAAGTGGAATATTGAGAAGGTCACTGGGTGTCACTATTGTCACCTATTGAGCTGCTCATTATTATTTTCTTTCTGGCCATCTGTGAATGAATTGAAACTCAAAAGGAGTTAGGCCTCACTGTCAGAGGTATCAGGAAATGGGTAACCCATGATTTCTAATCACACTGACTTTCTATACCCTGATGGTGAAATACTCTCTCCCTCTTCTTCTCTCCTTCTCTCCCTCTTTCTCTTTCTCTCTCCTCCCTCCCTCCCTCTCTTCTTACCTTCCCTCCTTCCTTTTTTCTAATTTTGAGCAGGTTCTTCTTCTTTTCCTTTTGAAAAATACAACCTTTAAGACACACACACATTTGATATGGGAATTTTAATGGTTTACAGAGATTTGTATATTACCAAATAATTATCAATTACCTGGCTAAAATGAAGAGAAAACTTACACTTTATTCCTATGTTGTATTTTTGAGATGTTTTGGCTTTGTTTTATCAGTTGTTTAAGAAGACTGTAGCCAAGTTAGGAATTTGAATCTTTTGATAAATTAGTGTTATGTCCCTAATCTTAAAGGAAATCCAGCAAGCTGGTACAAATGTTTTCATATACATCACTTTTCACCAACATTTTAAATAAGCTTAAATTTATGCACTAAATACAGTGCTTTGTAATTAAATAATTATGCCTTACTGTATTTAGCTAATTCAACTTCTAATATGGTTCAAGATTTTTATTAAAATATTCTAAAATAAAAGTCTTTGCTAATGAAATGAAGTAAAAATAATGGTTAAACTGCTTGCTTTTCTTTTATCCTTCTTTTCCTGTTATTTTCCCATTTTATTTTGTTATTAAACTCAGAAAAATTTAAGTTGAAATAGACTGTTGCTACTTTGTTTTTTTATAATTCAGTGTGCTTTTAGACATTATTATTAAAGAAATTTGTAGTCAGAATAATTTTTATTTCCTTTCTAGAAGAAATGGCAACATATCTTCGTTATGTAAGAAGGCTAGATTTTTTTGAAAAACCAGACTATGACTACCTAAGAAAGCTTTTTACTGACTTGTTTGATCGAAAAGGATATATGTTTGATTATGAATATGACTGGATTGGTAAACAGTTGGTGAGTATTCTATGTTATGTAGTGAAAGATTATTCATAATATTTATTTTCTTTTTAAGAATGTAAATTCTTTAGTTTAAAAGAGTTGAGAACAGATAAGATTTTTTAAAGGATTCATTTTACTTCTTATTTTGGGCTGTTTCTTTAGCTGGGCATTGTACCATTTGTATTTTGTAAATGCCTTACCTTACATTTGGATTTACTATTTTTTAGAGTGATGAAGTATTTTGGACTTTTCATCCTGGTTTGGTTTTTAATATCAATTATACTTTTTGTATAAAATTCCCATGATCAAATTAATATGTAATACTTAAAAAATTTAGAGTTTGATAAGTCCCTTCTCTGAGTCAAGATATTGTAAATAAGCAGTCTTGTTATTTTTAAATATTCCTTTAATTTTGTTAAGATAATATAGTTTATTTACACTTCAGTTTTGGAAATGAGACCTAAATAAATACATTTTCATTTTTGGTATAAAAAAGTAACCTAAAAATCAAATATAGCATTAGAAGATCTTTTAAAGATACAAAAATAAATACTTTAAAAATATTTGGAGTGATTTAAAAACATGTTAGTAGTTACATTCTCTTTTCTTTACCATGTTAGCTTGAACAACATGTTTTGAGAATTATATTACTTCTTAAAGCCTTAATTTATTTAGCAGCATCTTTTATTTTTTCTTGGTCCTTTTAAGCAGCTAAAAAATGATTTTAAGTAAGATTTCTGAACTAGAATGTATCGATACCAATTGTTATTATGTTGTAGCCTACTCCAGTGGGTGCAGTTCAGCAAGATCCTGCTCTCTCATCAAACAGAGAAACACATCCACACAGAGATAAGACGCAACAATCCAAAAACCAGGTTTGGTGCCCTTTTTTAGATATGAAATATCTTAGTTTGTTTCAACATTGATAGGTGTTGTCTTTAACAGATAAAACACCAGGCACATATTGAAGAGCTGAAAATACTTACGTTTTTAATAAACTAGTTCTCCTAATGTTTACTGTTAGTTTAATAATAACACTGAAATGTTTAGTTGCAAATTCCTAATTGATGATGCAAGTTAGTATAAACTGTGAGCAATATTTGATATTCTATTTGTACGGACATTTTTTGATACTCTGTTGTAATTGTGATAGCACTGGATCTAACTTTAGTCTATTTTAGTTCAATAAATTGCTTAATTGGTTTCTGCTATGTAAAGCTCTTTTCTGCGCATTATTTAGAAATGGAGAAATAAGGAAGAAAGTATAATCAATAAAAAAATGACTTTGTAATGAGTAACTAAAGCATTGTGTACTTAACAACTCAGTCTGTGGGATCAGACATACATGTATGTGGCTTAACCCTAGAAAATTCATTAATCTCTCAAATCCTCAGGTTTCCAATCTATAAAATGCATACTAATTTCTAGCATATATTAACTCTTGTGGCTAGTGTTACTATTATTATTCTAGTAAATACACAAATAACTACATTTCAAAGCAGAATAAACTGTGTCACCTGAAACATGTTACTTAAGTCCTGTGGAGGGGGCATGTAAATAAGTGGGGGTCTTCTAAAAATTTTATGGAAAAGGTAGCTTTTGAGATGAGCCTGAAAAGCAAATAGAACTTTTAAAAGCAAATAACATTTTTAGGAGAGTGAACAGTTAGAGAAACAGTGTGAGTTAATTTAAAAATATTTTCTTGAGGACAAAGTAATCTCTTTTGTTTGATATATAGAATAAGTTTGAGAGAAGGCACAGAATATTTATTATGAGGAGTTCATGTTTCCTGAGTAAAGGAATGGAAAGATGTTTTTGAGCAATGATTTCGTTTCTCTTTTTTGTAAAAAGAAGCTTTCTTCAAATTATCTTTGATTTAAAATTTTGCTATCACCTTGATTAGAGAATATGTAGAAAGTTTTGGTTATAACTTTTTGGCAGAGGATAGTGTGTTGTTCTTTCTTTACTTTTATGTATTTTAATCCTGTCAGTTCAAGTGAGAGTTAAAATGAGATGAAGTTAGCAGACAGAACAGTACTTACTAAAAACTGTATAGCAAAATGAAATGCTACATTTTAGGGGGTACCAGTATTTAACAGTTTTACACTTTAAGGAACAGCCAATTAAAGAAGATTAATTTTAAAAATTTCACAAAGAAATATTGGTATAATAAAGAGTCTCATGTACATTAATTCACGTATAAAATATAATTAGGTAATAGCTCAAAGACGCTGGTAAGGAGCTAGAAATAGACAGAAATAGCTCAAAAGTTGAGACCTAGAGTTTGTTTCACAAACTAGAGTTAATTTCTTAAATGTAGTTTGAAGAAGATCAATAATTGATATTTTCTAAACTCCTTCACATGAATAGTTAAGTACTGTAATAAGTGAAACTCTCCTTTTACTGTTGAATTAAATTATAATTTAAATATTTTACACTTTTTCTACATATTTCAGAAATTTCTTGTTAGATTGTAAACTCAGTAAAGGTGGGAACTATTTTATTTGTGCAGTCTTTTTTGCACTAAATGTAGGTAAATATGTATGTATATGATACATATATTTTGTATATAGCTCATATATAAAACATGTACTTTTATATATGCATAAGTAATTTTTCAACAAATCCTTTAGGAAAGGCTTATATTAAATTTGAAACCTGTATATACAGATTCTCATTATTATAGAAAAGTTGTAGATCTAGAAAACCTCTTCTTAAATATTTGTCATCAGTAAAAATTTTTAAGTTTTATGAGAAACTCGCAGTTCATTATCTCCAAGGGGAATAGTAAATTATTTCAAATGACTGAAACCTTCATAAAGTCTCCAGATAAATAATTGATAATATAGAGTCAGTGAAGTCCCATAATTATAACTAAAACATTAAACTTGTGTAATTGTTTATTCTGAGGAGAGAGTGCATAGGTTTTACTACATTGTCAGAGAATTCTTTGGCCCCAAAATGTTTTGGCTCCATGTGATTTTATGTAATTTATTTCAGTGTAAGCTACAAATCTGCTAAATTCTGGTTATGAATTTAGAGGGTTTAATGAAAAGACTATGAAACTGTCATAATTGTTTTGATGATATGTTTCATGCCATGAAATATGTAATTTTGCATTGTATGATTTAATTTAAGAAACCATGCCAGAACATTTGTTCATGTCTTATGCTTGAATTTAACATCTCTTCCCAAAAGGGTTGCTCTGGCCACCCTCATTTGCTTGAGCTTCCTCTAGCCCCAGTGTGCTTAGCACTTTGTCTTTGGTTGAAAAAGAAAGCAGAGCCCTGAAGATTTTAGAACACACGTAATTGTAGTTAGGACCTAGGTAGTATTTTGTAAAAGCACTGAACTCTGAGTTGGAATACCTTTTATACCTCTTGCAGCTCTGTGCCCCTAGGAAAATGTTCAGTGTTTCAATGTCCTCATGGAGATGATACTCTCCATCTCAAATGGGAGAACACATTTTAAACAACTGATGCAGAACCAAACATGTAATAACTATGATACTATGTTCTTCTACCATCTTTGTGTTAGTGCTATCCACATTTACCTGAAATACAGAAATTGACCCCTATTGAGAAATTACTCTTAATTGTACTAGTAGATTATTATTCATTTGTACTTATTGCTGTACAGATTTGCCAGGGAATCTAAAGGCATCAAGAATTTTCAGCCTGTTTCATGGAAGTGGGCCTTTTAATTTTAACCAGATACAAAAAAATACGGAGGAAGCAAGAGCATTCACATGTGTAGGATTGTCATTTTTTCTTTTTTAAAAGGTGTTTGTTTCATCATATTTTCATAGTATTCTTTCTGTATAAGTGCACCTCACTTTTCAAAGAACTTTCTATTTTCTCCTCTTATCCTTACAGTAAAAAGCAGAATGCTAAGCAAGAAAGAAACATTTTTGTAGGATTTTAAGAACAACTTTTTGGGGACTGTCGTTTTACATTGCTTAAAATAGCTCCTCGTGAGAAAAACTTATGTGAACTTCCAATGTAAGAAAATAGTAGATGACTTTTTGGTACACTCGTGATTTATTTGGAATGCTTTCATGGGCATATCATTTTTTACCTCCCTGGTTTTTATTAATTTCATTTAGAAACTTGGGGGGGGGGACTATGACTTCCAAGTCCTTTTAATTCTTTATAAGGTTCTATTATACCTATATTGGTGATCTTTACACAATTTAGCTAAAATCTTTCCACATTTTATAGTATTTACAAAGAACTATACATCTATGATTCAGATTAGTAAGGGTATTTTAAATTTCCTTTTATACATTTGTATTATATATTATGAGGATGAGATGTTTAACGTATTGGGTTTTTCTTCTTCCATGCATGCTACATGCATTAAATAAATGGCAGTCGGCAGACCACAGGGCAGCTTGGGACTCCCAGCAGGCAAATCCCCACCATTTGAGAGCTCACCTTGCAGCAGACAGACATGGTGGCTCGGTACAGGTATTTTCTGATTTTTGCATGAGTGATTATTCCCCAAATTTATACAACTAACCCTTTTTTTGGAACTCATGGCATGATTTCATATCCTAATGGAAAGATTGTTGCTGAAGTCTATCCATAATTCTATTCTTTTGTTATTTAACCAAAAAACAAAATTAACATGGTCTAAAGAGACCAACAGGGATACTAAGATTTTGCCTTTGTTAATTTTGCAAATACATGCAACACTATTTGTCATATCAGGTTAGAAAAATGAACTACATTATTTGAAATATGTGTTAAGCTTGCTTAGTGTTTTAAGTAATAGAACGTTTTATATTTTTTAATTGATCTTGCCTTCTTCAAACTTAATTCTTAAGTATCTAATTTTTTCAACCTTAGTTCTCACAACCCTGATTTTTATAATGGAACATTTTGTTTATACTTGGGGAAAATAATTTCTGTGATAAGCATTTATTTAAATACTCCCCTAAATATGTTGTAAAGATGTTTACACAAATTTTAAGCAGTCCCTTATAAATAATTGGTTCCTCTTTCCCCTTTTTCATACATTTAGGGACAGCTACTATATTCTGCCCTCCTGTGCCCTCTAAATTTTAATCACTTGTGTGTACTGCAGAAGTAGGTAAAGATTACTTAGTCTCGTATCTTTTTTTTTTTTTTTTTTTGGTACCGCCGGGGATCGATTTCAGGTTCTTGCGCTTGCGCAGCAGGCGGCGAAACCACTGAGCCAAATCCCCAGCCCTTTAGTCTCATATCTTTTAAAATGTCAGTTTAAGGTAATATAAATGCTAGCTTAAAGTAATAATAAGTGTTATCTCAATCCATTTCATTAAAAAATTTTTTATGGTTTATTTTTTCCTCTACGTATTTCCACTTAAACAATTTTCCATTATATTTTATCAGTTTTGCATTTTTAATATGTATTTAATCAACTGAATCTATATTTTGGACTTAATTATTTAAATTCTAAAAATAAATTCGTGATTAAAACTTATGAGCTCTCATGTTTTTCTCACCATTAAACTTTAGGGGAAATTTGAATTATGTAATCAACTATTTTATAGAATATTGCGGTCTGTAGCATTTCTGTTAGTACATGGTAGAAGTATTTGAATAGTTCTGTAAAAGTCTAGCGTGAAAGACTCAGAGGCTAGGGTACCTGAAATGATAAAATTTTTCATCACCTCAGTTCACATTGTTTGAATATCTAAATGAGCAAAGTATATTAATTTGTATAACAAAAATGAAATTGTGTACATATCTACATATGCTACATGTTTCCAAGTTTAATGTCTATATTATAGTATAAGGCACTGTTAGAAATCTTTCCTACCTCTTTTGTGCTATTGCCACAAATTGATTTTCATAGCTGCTTCTTCCTTTCATTCTTAAAGGTGGCTCATGGGATCCCTTTGAACTATCAAAGGGTGAATGAATTTAATTGGGGTTTATCATCTAAGGACTTCATGTTCTGTTTTTTTTCCCACATATCTGGATAGATGTATTTATACTTTTCTAATTTTTCTCTAAAACTTTTCTGTCTATAGAAACTGATTCCATTCTGATATTCAGTAAGTAATCAGTTTACTTGCTGTAATTCTAGTATACATAGAAAAATGCATAGGTAGAACAAAAATTTATATACTGTAGTATTTTTATTGACTTTATGAATGTATTTTACAATATTAAACTGACCTGATACAGTGAATATGTAAAAGTTTGATGTTATTAAAAAATCTACTAACACCCTAAATAGGATAATATCTGAGTTTTGTCCTGATGTCAAATAAAGACCGAGTTCATTAGTAATTTATATCTTACATACTTGCAGAATTATTTGAAATATGACGCTCGTATACTTGGGCTAATGAAATCTAAATCAAAAGTAATAAAAGAAGAAAGTAAAATATGAATTAACGTCATTATTATAAGTGAATCCTATAGTCGATCCTGAACAAAGGCAGAGAGGGAAACAATGTTTCTTTACTCCATCTGATAATAGAGATAAAGAGAAAAAACATTTCAAAGTGGGTATCAAATCCTGGTCTTCTGGCACTAGACAAATGCTCTTCTATTGAGCTACATTCCCCAGCCTTCAGAAAACTTTTTACTAGTGAAAAATTGTAAAAGAAATTTGTCTTGAGGTTGTTTGTGCAGTGGGTTTTAAACTGTTGAAGAAAGTTGCACATATTGGCTTTGAGGGAATAAAATGACTTTATATGACAATTTAGAAAGCATTATTAATAAATACTAAAGCATACCATCAAATTGTTTCTTAGATACTTCAATTTTAAAAAAAGGTAGCTATCTGATAACAAGATGATACAGATTTAAGATATTTTGAGTCAGCAGTTAGCTTAAAATGAGCCATCTGGGTTTATGGCATTCCTTCTTGATCACTGTACTCTTTTCCATGGAACTGATCATTGTTGTCAGTGCAGCACTGTAAAGCATTCCAGGCTGTGCATAGTCACATGCAAGATGAGTTCTCTTGCCATTTTTGACCTGTAGAAAGGTCTGTAGATATTTTTTATTTCAGATATACTTTTAATAAACGTGAACTCCTTGCCTTTTCAGAATTATTGTCTCATAGACCATACATTCAGTTAGCAGAATGATGACATTGTGGTTAAGAGCACAACCTCTGGAGTCAGAATTGGTTAAAATTCTGTTTCAGGTTATTTATCAGCAGGAAGATACTAATATCTCTACCTCACCATTTTGTTAAAGTTCAATTTTTAAAAAGTAGCATAGAGGCTAAAGCTTAGAAAGTGTTTAAGTAGAATGCTTTGTTTTTGCAAATTAAGAAACTTGACTGGTATTTTTAGCTGTCTCTCAGAAGTGAAGTATAGAAGCACAGCCAAAAGACAGTATTGTCAAATGGAACTTTTCTAATTTTATTCTGCATCTTTAGTGAAATCATATGAAGTCACAGCTGTACATTTTTTTTTTTTTGGTACCGGGGATCGAACTCGGGACCTTGCACTTGCGAGGCAGGCAGCAGAACCACTGAGCTAAATCCCCGGCCCAACACAGCTGTACATTTGATAAACTTCCCACTGAAGAGGCTAAGAATACTATTCAAATATTGACGTTTTTATTTTGAAAAAGTGTCTTTTTGTGTTTTGGAAAAACTCTACCAGAATCCAGTGTGCCTATGACCCCCTTAGAATCATTGATAATGAGTATGGCTGAGAAGTTGATCCTCCTATTTCGTTTCCTGGCCATTTATTATTCAGAAAATATCTCAATAAATGATTTTTAAGTGCTAAGTATTATTCTAGGTTCTTTGAATAAAAGGAAGACTCCTTAGAGGTTTCAGTCAGAAGAGACTGATAAGTAGGGAATATTTTCTAATAAGTAAAGACACAAAATGGTATATAGGAAAAACACGAAACCTGGATTTAGTGGGTCAGAATTTCTTGGACAAAGTTAAATCTAAACTAAAACGTAAAGCATCAGTAGCAGTCAGCTGAAGAAAGTAGAAGGGGTTAGGGGAAGAGTATACCAACCAGATAGGACAACATACATAGGGTTGTGAGAAATGAGACACATTGAGAAATTGAATTCAATCAGTGTGTGGTGTACGCTAAGAAATGAGATTGAGAATTAGGCAGGAGACAAATCATGAAGGATCTAACAGGTCTTGTTATTAAATTTGGACCACATTCTGAAGATTTGGATAGCCATAAAGCAAATTAGATAGAGCACTACTTGACTAGATTAGACTTTTCCTGGAGAGTAGATTGAAAGGAGAGAAATCTGAGTCAGGGACACAACTATCAAGTCTGTAGCTCGGGGAAAATAATGGGTAGGAGAGATGAAGAGAAAATCATTTAAAAAATAATTAGAAGATACAGTTTAATTGAGTTTGGGGACTGACGGGAAAGAAAGTTCAATTGTGATCTCTTTTTGATATATTTCTTCCTGGAAAATCAGGTTTTCAAAATTAAGTTTTAAGATGTACTACTTGCAGCAGATAGTGGTGATTTCTAATGCTGTTGTGGCTGTGCCTTTCACTGTAGCATAACCCCACTGAGCTCATTGTTACTTGAAGAGAGAAGACAAATACTGAAGACACTACTGTAGGGAACAGGGAAAGGGGACGTTACTAGAACCTCTGTAGTAAGTCCTAGTCTCCTGTGAGCCACAGCAGCACAAGGGAGTTACAGGAAAGGTAGAAAAATGAGACTGAGAAGAAGCTGAGCTTTGGGTCTGGTCAGTGCTGCTCTGGGCAGCAAAGATGAAAGCCCCCAGCTTACCGCACCTTTTATTTAGTACTCAGTACATCGGGAGAAACAAATGTAACAAATGACTTGTAGAGAGTTTAGTACATCTCTGTGTAAATAAGATGTAACAATCCAAGAACAAGGAGGAACTGAGTAGATGTTTGTTCCTTCCAGGATGTTCTCAGCTCCCAGGATGTTTCTTGTCCTGGAGAATCACAGCATCACTGGATCATTGAGGTCTCAGTTGTGACGGGAGGCCAAAATGGAGTTATGTTTTGGAATTCCATAGCTGGGCTGTAGGCAGGAGAACTAGACTAACCAAATGGTTTTTCTCTAAAATTACGTAGCATTGTTCCTGACACACTACTTATTGAAAACTATTGTATAGTATGTATTATACTTCCAGATTGTTTGTAATTCTCTTATTGTTAGGGAGCCTTTGGTTTGAATCTAATGAATAACATGAGTTTTGAACACCTGAGGGAAAAGCAGGAATAGAATCACAAATAGTATGAAGGGCATGTTGTGCAACTAGGCACTGCTGAGGAAGATGAAAGATTAACATTGTATGTGGTAGATATTTTGGCCAATATAAGATCAGAAATTACAAATAAAGGTGATGCTAACAAAAAAAGATTAGACAAAAGTAAAAAATATAGAGTACATTGTTAAACACCAAAGGAATAATAGGAAGATAGTCTAACTAGTTTGTGTGAATTGCTTATATTTGAAAAGTATATTAATTTATCTTTAAAAATTATTGACTACAAAGATATGTGTGTTATCTTTGTACTTAAATATATGAGAGGAACTTTTGAAATTAGGTGTGATAGGCATCTGTCTCCCTGTCTACCTGTGGACTGTTTTCCCAACACATCCTCTTAAACTCTAATAGTGAAACTTAAATCTGGAGTCTAGTTGCTTTTTTTTTTTTTTTTTTTTTTAACTGCAACAAGCTTTGTACTTAAAACACCATTTCTTGTGATCAAACTGCGCATATCGGGTACTGGGCAGAATCTGGGCCTTATGCAGAGATGAGCAAAGGGCGGTCCCTGCTTTCTGGGAAGGGTAGGAACTTGGAGTATGGAATAAATCAGCCCCACCTGGCTTTGAATCCAGACTTCGACGACAAGTATTTATATGACCTCGGGCAAGTGACTCTCACCTCCTGGGTCTCGGTTTTCTCATCTATGAAATAGGTTTAAACATTATCTAGCTGAATTTTTGAACAATTTTCCCAACACATAACACTCTTCAGTGTGCACTGACTTGTTTACGAGACAGGGTCTTGCTATGTAATCCAGGCTGCCCTTGAACTCCAAGCAGGCTTCCTGCCTCACCCTCCCGAGTGCTGGGATTACAGGGCTGCGCCTGTATTTTTAAAAAATAAATCCAGAATTCCTACGTGCCTTGTGGAAGCTTCTGGAGGTGGAAAAGCACTTTCAAGGCTGCACACCACTTGCTAACACTAGGAGCTGTCACACAGCCTTGACCTGGGTACAGGACACACCCGCCTCGGGGGCGTCCTGGGTCTCCCAGCCCCCTTTAACTTCTTTTCTTTTGTTGTTTTTGTTTGTTTGTTTATTTGTTTGTTTTTGGTACCCTTGTGCTTGCGAGGCAACAGAACCACTGAGCTAAATCCCCGGCCCCCCCTTTAACTTCTTAAGATAAGACTTATACCAAGTTTCTTGTCAAATTGGAAATGTCAGAGGAAATTTCTTTAAGAATAACAACACTTGAGGGCCAGGGATTTAACTCAGTGGTTCCAGTGCCTCTCTTGGAAGCTCAAGGTCCCAAGTTCAATCCCCAGTACCAAAAAAAAATAACATAAACCTGTAAAACGCATGAATTATTTTTTTGAAATGTCAAACCTCAGAGCATCTGTCATTTTTATATATTTTATTAATGGAAATTAGCCTTCTTCAGTTCAAATTATAATTCTAGAAATGTTACCTAAATTGAATCATTTTTTTTAGAATTATGGCTTATGAAAACTTTGTATATTTTCTTGATTGATTAATTTAGGCTACCAGGGATATAATGACATTATTATATTTTCATTTTTCCTTTGTAAAATCCTTTTGTAAAAAAGGCTTCTAACTGTAAATGAGAAAGTTTTAGTGCCATGGATGTACTCTCAGGTCACTTCTGTCAAGTAGGCTGACTTTATGGAGGACAACAGCAGTTTTCTATCTTAACTCTGATGCCGTATTGACTCTGTTCTGATTCTGTAGTATTGGCCTCTTTGCAGAGGTTTAGGAAGTCTGAGAAACCCTAAAAAACTACATTTAGGAAGATGTTATTTCTTTCTGCTGTGCTTCTAGTCACCCAGGTAAAGTGGGATTTGAAACCTTTCAATAAAATAAAGTATGTCAGAGTCAGCTATGAAGTCTTCTCCTGTGAGCTGAAATAAATCAGATTATGTTATTTCAATGTATATGTAGTTACTGTTGCTGGAGAGTATATAGTTAATATTGCTGGAACTTGAAATACTTGAGTTTTTAAAATTTTCAATAATGTAAGGAAAGACATGTTAGAAAATTTAAGATGGGAACCCTCTAGCTACCTGGGGCCAGTGACCACAAAGGAGAGAAACTTTTTGAATATTATATTGCAGGAAGAGTGATGGACATTTTTCAAAGAACTGCCTTTATTCACTGTATGCTATAAGATAATGATATGTGTAAGAATCTTGCTTCTTTCCTACTTGGGGCAAGGACTCTGACTTTTTTTTTTCTTTTGGTTTTTTTGGGACAGGGTCTCGCTATATAGTTCGGGCTGGCCTTGAACTCACTATGTAGCCCTGACTGGCCTTGAACTTGTGGCGATACTCCTACCTCAGCCTCCCAAGTGCTGGGATTACAGGTGTGTGCTGCCATGCCTGGCAACATTTTTGAAATTAAGAATAAAGACCCGCTGAGGATTTAGCTCAGTGGTTCCAGTGCCTGCCTAGCAAGCACAAGGACTGGAGTTCGATCCCTGGTACCAAAATAAATAAAGACCCAAATCATGTTCAATAATTAGAGAAAATAATTATTTTGAAATGTTTTCAGAAAGAGAAAGAAATGAAGACAAATTGTCGAAGAACTCAACAGAATGATAGAAAGGGGGGAAACGGTGCCCCAGAAACAGAAGATAACTTAGGTGTCATAGTATTCTATACTTTGGGTCATCTCTGAAGATGATCAAGGTAGCTCTGTCAGCTATAGCCACGAAAACAAATGCACTGTTTGTTTCTACATATGCATTCCACATAGGGTGTGTGAAGCAGAATTTCATATTTAAAAATTTAACTCAATATGTTGATTGCTCTGATTACTTTCTTTGCAGTTGAGAATAGCAACCACAGTAGAGTATCAAGTCCACAAAAAAGGAATGTTTGTCTTTTTTGTTTACTGTAGCATTCCAAGTAAGTAGGACAGTGCTTAGAATGTTATAAACTTGCAAATAACAACTATTGAGGTTAGGTTTACAAATAAGAAATTCTACAAATTAATACTCTTCCATTTGGTAGTCACCTGTCCCACTCTGGTGCTCATGCCTCTCTCTATTTTTTTCTGATAAAAAATTAAATAAAATGTAGAGGAAATATTAAAGATAATTCTTATATTTATTTTGAACTTGGAAGTGTGGGAAGATGGTAGGACTTTTAAATAGGAGCCACAGGAAAAAAGAGGTAGTGGAAGAGAATGGATGTACTGACTTTGAGAAGCTGAATTGGTCCAGCTTACTGAAGATGTGTGTGAGTGGTTGGACTTACGCTCTGCTTTACATAGAGGTGATGATGGAAGCCACAGTTATAGGGGAAACTTGTAGTTAATGATGGCCATTATTTATTGGTCTCTTACTATATACTAGACCTTGTGCATTGTGTGTGTATTTTACATATTGATATATGTGTGCTTCATATATTGATATTAATTTCATCCTCATAGCAACCATGTTAAATAGATATTGCTGTTTCTCTTTCATAGTTGAGAGCACTGAGGTTTAGCAAGGAGGAATGTCATTCTCAGGGTCACATAGCTGGTAAGTGGTAGAGCTGGGTTTTCAGTACAGATCTGTCTAATCCAGAGTGATCAGCTGGTGCCAGTTGATAAGCAATGCTCACAGAATACATTTTTTAGGACTCATTGGTAACTTTCAAGAGATTTCTTAGTAGAGTTCTAAAGTTGATACAGAACCGATTGCAAATAGTTAATGAATAAATTAATGAGAAATATTATAAAAATGCAAACAATGAGGTAGGTTTTTTTCTTCAGTGTTAGTAATAAGAGGAAAGGAAGAAATAGAACCATAATGTGAATTTGCAGGACCAAGAGAATTTGGAGAAGTAAGGAATGTTGTTATGATCTTTCTCTTAAGATTTTATGCATGTGTGCATGCATGTAGGGATAGAATACTTTGTGTCCTTATTCTGTGGAAGGTATAGCACGGAACATGATGAGCTTCCTCTTGTTATAAAACTTAGTTTTTATGGAGACAGAATGTCAAAAACACACGGAAGGGAGGGGGAGAGAGAGAACTTATCAATAGTAATAAATACAAAGAATTAAAAATAAGGTATAACATGAGACTGTGTACATGCAAAGTTTAGATTGTATGATAGAAGAGGCCTGTCTCAGAGGTGTTCCCTGAGGAGCTGAAGGATAAGAAAGCTAATAAGTGGAAAGAGTATTTTAGGCAGTGACAGTAAATGGTGTTAAAATCTTAAGTTATGAAGAAGGTTGACATATTGAAACTAAGGGGAAGGTAGTATAAGATGAGAGAGGTAGGCAGGTATCAAGTCATATGGGACTTTGTCAGTTGTGGTAAGGAGTACAGATTTTATTCCAAGTGAAATAGGAACCAACAGGTGGCAAGTTTTAAGCAAGAAATTATACCCTGTATGATTTACATCTTAAAAAGAGCACCCTGGTTGCTGTGAGGATAATATATTCTACTTAGGGTACAAGAAAAGCAGAAGATCAGCTAATGGCTTTTGCTTTTATTCTCATAAGAGATTTATGGTGGCTTAGACTGGAGTCCTAGAAGTAGTAGAGGTGATGAGAACGGATTAAATATGGGATATCTTTGGGAGAGGATTTAACAGGGCCTCCTTATAGATTGGATATGGGGTTTAATTCAAAGAGAAAACATAGTGACTTCTGCATTTGAGAATGAGTAATGTTGCCATTTATTTAAATAGGCTGTGTGAGATGGTGACCTGAACATGACTACAGATTAAAATGAATGCTGCATGGGAAGAAGCAATACTAAAAGTTCATTAGGGAGGTAATTTATGATGTAGCAATAAACCAAAGACTGTAGGTACACGGAAGAGAATTGATTAAGACATTAGTGTAGAAGTTAGAGTTCAAAAACATAAAGGAGATAGAAGACAGAAAATTTTAAATGGAAATAAGTTAAAAAGCACATATAAGATGATTTTGATCTTTAATAAAATGCTAGTCTTATTACTATATTCAGTTAAGAACAACTACCTACTAATTGTTTTGTATTCCTCATAACTTTCTAATTTAAATACTTTAACCTTTAATTATATGTATGATGCATATGTGTTTTATATATATCTATATATATATATATATGATATGTGTATATTTTTTCTTTTTTTAAAACAGGTTGTAAGTTCCACAAATGGAGAGTTAAACACAGATGACCCCACTGCAGGACGTTCCAATGCACCCATCACAGCCCCTACAGAAGTAGAAGTGATGGATGAAACCAAGTATGCATTAGTTTTGTCTGCTTTTAAAATTGTTTTTCTTCAACTATGCATGTGTGAGATTTATTGTCACATACAATTATAGGTGCATGCCATATAAGTGGTATATAGTACTTACTTTAATCATTAAGTTTAAGATAGTGTTATTCTAGTAAATATTTTAATACAGAAATATAGTTGTGTAAGAACTGGCTAAAATTCTCATTTAAAATTACCCCTTTTGTCTATATGCATAAGAAAAATTAATTTATAGAATGCTGCATGCTTTACTATTAAAAAATTAAAATTAAATTATTGCTGCTTGGAAAAATGAAGCATGAAAAACAACGTGATTTCATTGTGGGCTGTTTCTGATGATCTCTCTTCTCTCTCTCTCTCTTCTTTGTTTTTTGTTTTTTTCTTTTCTTTCTCTTTTTTCTTTTTTTTTTTGTGTATAGCTGCCAGAAAGTGTTGAACATGTGGTGAGTTCTCAAGCATAGGCAGGCAGAAATAGCTCCACTGACTCTATAATTAAAAGTATTTGCTATTAACATTAGCTTTGAAAAATAGAGGAGCTCTTTTGCCTGCTGCAACTATTTGCTTCAAGTGACGTAGATTTGGAGGCACTTTTTAATTGTGTAGATGGCATGCCAACTTTGCTTGTGCTTGCACATTTGTTTTGTAATAGAGTTTTTATTTGATATTTTAAATAGAAAAATTTTAAGCTTTCTTTTTTGTTTGTAATTATTGACTACAGATAGCAGATCCCCTCTTTCCATAGTATCACTAAAATATTCATTTACTAATCAATTATCATTGTCATTGAATACAGTATTGATAAAATTTCATGATAAATATAATGAGGAGAGTAATGTAAAAATCTTTCACATAATTCCTGATAATTGCAGATATTATGAAAAAACAATGATCTTACTACTAATGGTAGAGAATTTAAATTATTTTCTGACATTTGTCTTTAGTTGTAATACTGTATTTAAAAGGCTTTTCTCAGTTTCACAACAAATTTTGAGTCAGCCTTGGTGTGAATAAGGGAAGTTGTTTAATTTATTAAATTTTGAAACATTTTACTTATATCCAAACATTATATAATTTGCTAATAACGCCCCCATTTGCTGGATGCAAAATGAGGAAAGTTTTCTGAGTACTTGTTTTTAAAGAGCAGTAATTAAGTATTCATTTTCATTGGTTTTGACTCGGGAATTTATTGACAGTGTGACCACATTTAGTGTATTTCATGATGTAACTAGCAGTGTACTAGTTAGCTATGTACTTTTGTGTTTTTAAACAAAAGTAGAAATACCAGCTTATGTTTGTGAATTTTAGGTACAGTTATGAGAGGACAGTTATGAAAGGACAGCAGTGCAGTTGATGAGAATGCATATGTCCTTTACAGTTAGACAGAGGTTGTAGAATATTACTTCTGCCACTTATTTACTACTTTTCTTAAACTTGTTTCTTTTCCTGAAAATGTTGCTAAAAATATCAGCCTCATAAGTTATTGAGAAAATTAAATGTGATAAATCTCTGATATTTTTGTCTTGCACACAGCAGGTACTCAGTATCTACTGTTATCCCTATTTATTTCTTTATTAACAGCTGCCGGTGACCTCTATCATTTATGTTTTTTCCAGGCTTGTGCTTCTTCCATTTGTGTTTCATATTTTATTCCCATACCTACATTCTTCTCTGGGACTGGCCCTGCTGTGTTCACATCCTTCTAGAGACTTGCTTTCAATCTGTATTTATCTATTTGATGTTTCAACAGTTATACTGCTGGGATTTCAGAAATACATGATACTACTCTTGCTCTTAGATTACAAACTAACAGGAAAGATTTCAGTTGTTATAGCATATATTAATATATGATACATATTATTAAAAACATAAAAAGCTTAGAATTTATAAAGAAAAAGATGACTTCCCAACTGGGATGATTGGAGAGCACTGTGTAAAAGTGGCTCTGAGAGATGACACTGTGGTTTATCCAGTTGAGGTGGGCCTAGGGACATGTGTTTATGGGTTTGTGGGTCTCTGTAGGCATTGAAGGATGAAAAAGAAGAAAATGACGAGAAGGCTATTCCTGAAGGCACTGCTCTGCCCTTTTCAGAATGTCATGTTCATATTTCTTGACATGACACCAAGACCCTTTATAATTTTCATAGTTTGACCCCTTCCAACCTTTCTAGCTCATATTTTCATTCCAAACCCTATAGTCCATTAAGCTCAGTCTGACTTTGTTATAGTATTCTATTTATGTATCTTGTACCTCATGAAACATTCTGAATTTCTTGAAAACAAGACCTTTTTAATCTTCATATCCCTAGTAGCTAAAACGTACCTCCAAAAATTATTACTAAATCTAAATAATGTGCAATATGTATAATGTGGACTATGTATATGATGGACTATATCATATGACAATATAAATAAGAGAAATTGAAAACATGCTAGGTAACAGAAGCCAAACACAAAAGGCCACGTAGGTGATTCCATTTCACTACACTGTCCACAGTAGGCACAAGAATGAGATGAGCATTTTGCCTGTGGCAGGGAAGAAGAGGATGGGAATCTTTATGAATGATGAAAATGTTTCAAACTTCAGTTGTGGTGATGGCTGTACAACTCTTGGAATATACTACACACCACTGCATTAAACACTTAGAAGGCTAAATTTTATGTAAATTATATCTTTATCAAGTGGTATTAAGGGAAAAAATGATAGTAACCCATGATTTTAGTGCAACTTAAGGTGGATTATAGGATTCATCAAAACTTCTCTACCCCTTCATGAAAACCACTCAAACACATACGGTTTTGTTTTTCTTTTAATTAGGGTAATTCATAACATATCAATAAGTTCATTAAAAAGTTTCTTATATCCTTTTAGAGTGTAATTAATAAATGTGACCATAATTCCCTTTCCCAGATTGTATCATATTCTCTTTGGTTACTATTTGAAGAGAACCTGCTAGGAACTTGAGAATTCTCTTTCAGGAATTATGTCCTTCTTCCTTATGAGGGACCAAGACTCCTCTTGCCCCATCAATTAAAATGTAATCTATGATGGACATTTTAGTATTTTCAAGTTTCCTGGCACCTCACTGGGACACATATGTCATTTGCAACTGAAGGAAAATATTCTGTCTGCTCATATATGAAATGGGCTCTTTGTTAGTAATGGGATTTTGCCTTATTTGTTTACTGTATTGAGAATGTTATTGCATGGTGATACAAATGATAGTGCCTTCATCATTCCACCCAGGAATTTAAGTCAAGCCTTTCTTTACATTAAACACTTACTTTTTAAGTAGTGTAAAACCCATCTTTTTTTCTTTCTCTTCCCTTTTCCTTTCTAATATTTACTAAATAAATTATTGTGTATTTAATATGTATATAAATATATCAAGGCTTACATATCATTAGGGAAGACCTCAGTGACTTTTATACAACCCTAGCTTGGAATTACAGTCATGTGGGGAGTATAAAAAAAATACCAATACTTAGATTATGTTTTCAGAGTTTCAGATTTAACTACTTGGTTTGTGATGGGGTCTACTTTTCAGTATTTTAAAAAAGCTTCCAAGATGACTCTAAGGAGCAACCAGTTAGAGAGGAACAAAGTTTTTAGAGAACAGAGTACATACTTCTAACTGGGAACTTCGGAGAGGTCTGCATAGGAAAGGATACATTTTCAGTAGTTCTCTAACATGAGTATGAGATGAGTAGAAGAATTCAGAGCAAAGAGGTTGAATAAAGATATGGATTAATAATGTAGAGCAAGGTAGAATGGAGCAAGATTGATGAGTAGCCCATGTGAATATAGAGAACTGATATGCCCAATCCCAGAGGGCTTTGGTAGCCAAGTAAAGAAATGTAGACATTATCTTTGTCAGCACAAGGAAAGCAAGCTGTGATGATTTAAAACCAGGAAACATTATAATCAGATTGAGCCTTAGGAAAATAAATTTGGCAGCAGTTATGAGGCTATGTCACTTCCTGGCATTCATCAAATTGCAGAAAGTAGTTTAAGATATAAATTAGGTTTTCCTATGAATATAGATAGAGAACTTATATTTTAGGTCAGTAGTCTCTAGTGATTAAATAGTTGTTTTAAAAATGTATTAAGATAACAGTCTGGGTCTGTCCATTCAGTCTCTTAAGTGTTCAGGACTTTGATAATCTAGTCTAGAGTTGTAAAGATTAGCAAAACATAGTATATTTCCTCAAGAGATCATTTTAGTGAGAAAGAGAAGCATTAAAATTATAGTACAAAGTGATAAAAATTGTATAACTTGTGTTTGGGGGATGGTAAATGAATTTTAGATGGCCATATTGTAAAGATACAGAGATACAAAAGACCTTGTGATATTTTCTAAACATGGCAAGTAATATTTGCTTTAATTAACTTCTTTTCCTCTTTCCCTTCCTTCCTGGTGGAAGATGAGACTGAGAGGAGTATGGAAATAAGATTGAAAGCCAAATTTTGGGGGGTTTTTTTGGTACTGGCGATCGAACTCGGCTTCTTGCGCTTGTGAGGCAGGTGACAGCACCACTGAGCTAAAGTCCCCAGCCTGAGCCAAATTTTGAAGGAGGCAGATTAGAGAGAAGATTGACTTAAAATGGGAATTCTGTTAAAAGACTCTAATGAATAGTAGAGGCAAGATGAAAGCTTCTGAACTAAATCTGAGCAGATGGGAAAGTTTTGCAAGTCATCTCAGACTGCAAGACAGATGAATTGCATGTGGATGGGAAGGATGAAATTGGAGATGAGGATGGGTCCATATGTTCCCACAAGGAGTCCTTATGTGGATGGTGTTACTCTCTGATCTGAATTACATTCTTGCTCAACTAAACAGTTACTCGTTTTTCAAAAGCAAGAGGTCCAAAGACATGAAATAACACTTTTTAGGTATTACTTTTAAGTGGAAAAAATCTTTTGTTAACATATAAAAGTAGGTTCTTTATTATTAACCCAGGTCAGGAAAAGATGGGTTCCAAAATCCTAAGAGGAAAATACAGTTTCTCAACCAGAGGATGAGCCAGTGAGCTATTGTAGAATGCTTAAGTAACAGCTTTAGATGCAGACAGGAAAACATGTTTCAGTTTTTGAGTGGACTTGGGAGAAAGAAATGTATAATATACATCCAGGAATGAAGTGTATAACATAGATCCAGGAAAACAAAGCAAAGTCTAGAAGGAGAAAAATGTAATGACCAAAAGGGAAATCACAATGGAATGATAGGAGCAATACCTTGGCCCTTATCTTCTATGTTTTCTGAAGTGTTCCAGACTTTAATCTATGATAATTTCTTGCTTCTTGCCTAATCATGTTTAAAGAAACAGCCTTAGAATTTATCAGAAACAAAATTTAATATTTATTTCCAAAGGATTTTAGACTGGAGATGTACCTTTGAAATGTTAGGTTAGCTACTGAATGAGTATTTCAGAACATGAAGCTGACTTGTGAGAGCATGTTGGCTTCCTGGGACAACCTAAGGAATTACAAAGAAAGAGCCAAGGCGGCAGGCAGCATTGACAAGAACTTGATTTAAATGTTTGTTTTGGTAAGCTTCAGCAGTTTCTCCAGGGTAGTCACCAGTTGTCTAGATCTGAAGAGTATGAGCCAATGTGTAAGAAAATGTAGTCTCTGAGCTGCCAGAGCAAGAAGAAAAGAACTTATTTAAAAATTTTATAGGTGTGGATAATTTTCTAAGTTTGGGTAATTGAATTTACTAATAAAAACAATGTGCTCATGTAATCTGCAAAAACTGTTTATGTGCTAATTCCTGGAATCCTTGCTATTATTTGCAGTAATTATTAAGATTAACTGGTTCCTTTAATCCCTCCCCACCCCCTTTAACCATGCCAAACACTAAAATAGCATTGTTTCTTTTTACACATTTGCCTAAATCTTATACATTGAAGGCATGAGTCCACATAGCATCTGTTGTGTTCAGGTATAGAAAGGCTTGGTCCTCTTCAAATCTTTAGCGGTCTGAAGGCTATAGAGAAACTGGAAAGGTACCCTGGCAGTTACATCTGGAGAGTAGTGCTGCTTTTTTTGTTGTTGTTGTTACTGGGGATCAAACTCGGGGATCTTGCGCTTGCGAGGCAGGCACCAGAACCACTGAGTTAAATCCCTGGCTGAGAGCAGTGCTTCTTAACTTGGGGATTTAGACTCTTATAAAAATCTGGCATTAGCCATTTTTCTTCTGAAAAGTCTCACATAGGCACTAAAATAGTCAGTGACGTTTCACTAGAGTTTGTGACCAGTAGATAAGAATTCTGGATTTAAAACATGCTTTAGAATTTTGACAAGTTTTTTTTTACTGAGTTAGTTGCATTTCTGAGGCAAATCATTCAATTGAACGTGTACCAACTTTAATTTGTTGAGGTATATCTATGAGAAAGTCTTTATAAAGCATTCATTGTAGTATGAAGAAAGATAATAAGTATACAAGTGAAAGAATTTCAAAGTGGTAGTGATGAGAGGAAAATAAACCCGTAACACAATAGAGTATTATCAAGCAGTATTGTTTCAGTTTGAGTGTTTGAGTACTGGAGATAATTGAGATGAGGTAGTTTATTAATCACTAAGACTATAAACCAGCTGTTTTAGAAATGACTGTTGAATTAAGAAATCAGCCACAGGTTAAAATACCATTTTACTTGTGAACTTCTGTAGGTTTTTATTTTGAGTGTCTCTGTAGTTGGTTACATTCCTATCACATAAAGCAATGCTGCCCTCTGGCGGTAGTCACTTTAATAGAGTGCCAGTTTTACTTTTGCAAAACTGTTGTAAGGGTATACAGTATAGGGGGATTTATTTCTGAAAAAATAGATGTCACTTTTTAGTTGTGTTTGAGTAAAGGACTTCTACCAAGAGAATTCATTTAAAAATTTTACTCAGTTTCAAATAAATGCTCGCCATGGTTTTCTGAGTTCGATAAGCTATGTTGTCAAGAGAAAAGTTAAGACACGAGAACTTGACTCTCAGAACTGGAAGCAATGCTGGAAAAATAAAACAGATGTTGTGAATTACTAATAAAAGTGTGGAAATCCTAGAACTTGAACTTGTTCATCAAAACTTCTATTACATTAAATCTGTTCTAAAAATTTGTATCTTAAAATCTTTTTAATAGAAAACAAATTTTAAGAATGTACTTTGAGATTTGAAATAGCAAGTGATAGTATTTGAGAACAGTAAACATTATTAAATATTACATTAAGTAATTAATCATTAAATAATGTTTAATAAATAATAATTAATACATTTCTATTCGAATATGAACAGATTCTTAAATTTAGTATTGCAAATGTACTGTTGTAAATATTTGACCCGTTTCTTCTAAATACCAATTTTTTTATGTTTTACCTTATACCACGTGAATGTACATTGAAGCTCCATGATATATATGCTTAGCTTGCAGATCTTGAGTTAATATCCTTTTATAAATCTGGATTGATAAGAGTTACAGAAGCATCTTCTTAAGGTCTGAATTGCCAGCTTTTGGTGATAGACACAAAGTACACATGTGCACACTGGACATCAATGAAAAATTCTAAGAGAGGCAACATGTTTGTGTGTACCAAAAATAAATTGAAGTTCACTAGTTAGAGGTGACTTTTAAAGGTTGCTTTAGTCTTTGTTTTAAAGAGACTTCACTGTGTGTAGTGCCTGTCGTGTTAGATGCTCTGATAATGTCTTACTTTTCTTGTTGCTGAGACAAAATCCCTGACACCCAAAGTTAAGGGAGGAAAGGTTTATTTAGCTCACAGTTTGTAGAGGTTTCAGTCCATAATTGGCTGGCTCAAAGCCTCAGCAACTTTTTTCTGCCCCTTTTATATTCCATCTAGGCTATTGGGATTAAGGTGGTGTCAAACCAATCAATGGACTGATTTAGTACGCACACACCCTTAATCCTAGCGCCCTTGATCCCAGCACTGCACCATGAATCAGTCACACACTCTAGGTCCAGCCACCTCAGAAAAAGCCCCACCCATGACCTCATGAGGTTTTGGGGGTACATCTAGACCCAACTATAACAGACTTTTTTTCAAGTACAGAAGATGAAAAAAGCCAGACCCTCACACCTTTATTTGAAGGAATGCTAGACTTTTAGGATGTGATTGGGGGAGGGTGTGTGTGGGGGGGAGTAGAGGAGGGAGAGAAAAAGAGATTGATTTTCATTTTTAGCTTTTGGGATAAGTGCTCATCAGTGATTCTCATTAACTTTCAGTTTATACCAGCCTCAGCATCATCCTGTGGCAGCTATGATGTCCTGCATCTTACCATGCCTAGGAGAATTTACTGTGAGAGTAACTAATTGTCTCAGGAATCCTATCTAGATTTTTTTCACCTAGGAATAAAAATGAGGACTATATTGTTTCAAATATATAGTTTTTGAATTACAAAACTGAGTCACCTAAAATCCTAGTAGTTTCGGCAGTCGTATAAATATCAGGAAGAAAGGGAGAGACTGCATGGCCTGAACTTATTGAGCATCCAAATAAAGTGTCATTAGTCAGCTGTATTCAGAACACCATAACTTCTCAGGTTCTTGGAGCAAGCCTTTTTAATTTAGTGGCTCCTTTTTATGTTGTGTGGAATGTCTTGCTGTAACTAAAAGGCATGTTGTAACAGTATAACTTTGCTGTAGACTAATATATATGCTTCACTGGTATGTTCACTGTTTATATTATGCTAGCTTGTTGCTTTTTATAACCATTTAGGTTAATATGATTCAGCCTTTGATAATTTTAGTGCTTTTATGATAAATAATATTTCCTTCATCTGCAGGTGCTGCTGTTTTTTCAAACGAAGGAAAAGGAAAACCATACAGCGCCACAAATGACTCTGGAGACAGGCAGATCATGGGGAGTTACTTAAGTGTTCATCTGCTGTCTTGTGATTAAAATCATCTCTGTAGTGACCACATATATTTTGAAGGACTCACTCTTAGAAACAAACATGTCATACTTTCATACTTCATTTTGTGGTTGTCTTAAATTCATATTTTTTTTTTCAAATTTAACTTTTATGGAAGCTTTAAAGTTTTGTCAAAACATGAGTGCTTTGCCCATCAATGAATGGAATGGACCAATGAGGTAAATGATGAATGCAGTTCTATAGGACATTTTTCAGAAGCTCTTCTCCTGTTGTAGTGAGTAGTAGTACAGTATCTTGTCAACTAACTATATACCTAATTTGGTTTTTATATCTTCTGTAAAAGCATAAACAAGCAGAATTTTCTTCCTAGTGGATAATGCAACAGAGAAAAGAGCTCCCCGATATTCAAAAAGGAAAATGTTATTCTTTGAGAAGTTCATATTTTGTGACATCTGCATTGATATCAGTATTACTGATGGTACTGTTATTCATGAGTCATTTTAACATTCTCTCTGTGAAATCGTGGTACAGTCACTGCCCGGAGGTACTGCGGAAAAAGCTCTGTGGGCTTGGCAGATGGTGGTGGTAAAATGAATCACAAGAAGTGTGGGAAATACAAGCTCTGCTTTTGTTGCACCACTATGTGAAGTACAGTGTTGCAGAAGTGGCAAAAGTGCTTATTTTTAAAAAATATAAAAATATTTGTATAATGTAACTTTATGCTTCCAGACAATAATGTACCTTAATAGCAAGAAATGAACTTAATTGAGAAGTGATACAAGGTGAAGTTGTTTTTTTAAAAAAATACACTAAGGAAAATAAATGTGAACCTTGTTGAAAGGTATAAAGTTAAAGCCAGAGGAGATCCCACTGAAATCTACTGCTGAATAATCACATTTCCCTTTAGCAGAAACCTTTGGGTGTACCATGCAATGGTGTCTGTTTATATTTTGTTCTTTGATTAAAAGAAAGACCTCCAGCAATAAAAACTGGGTCACTCTGTTGCCCTCTGTGCACATTACTCTGTTGTATTCAACTTTGCTAGTTCTCTGGAATTTTCCTATTCTTTAGCATAATTGTAACAATTGAAAGATATTTTGAAGAGGATGGGTCAGGTGCTTTGCCTCCATAGTCTTTTGAAGTGCCTGCATATGAGCAACGTAACAGTTCTGTAAAAAAGGAAGCCCATTCCACTTTACAAGCATGCTTTGTTTTAAGCCACAAAGACACAGATGTACTTTTGTCACATTCTGCTGGCCAGAATTTTCAAGAAGGATCAGAACAAAGAGACTGTCTGGAAAGATAATTATTTTGATCAAATCTCATGTTCATCTTTCATTTATGAAAGTGTTGCTTATTTCTTCCATGCAGTCCTTATTTGTCTTTAAGTGTGTACCCCCAGGATGCTTATTTATTTTTATTGTCTCAAGGTAACATTTAAAATATATATTAAAGTAAATGAATCACATTTTTTCATTATTACATTTACAAGGATTTAATTGTACTTTGTAATTTATTTTTCTTACTAGCTAAAAGTTCAGTGCTTTGTTTTTGATGATTTAGGCACTCATACAAACACCATAAATCGGGACATTGTTTATCTTTGTTGCTCTGAATCCTATGAGTGATCTTTTCTTCATTTTCAAGACCCACACTCACCCTAGAAAACATTTGCTGTATAATTTGGTCAATCGTTTCCATTCTGTGTATTTGTATACTGTCACAATGTCTTAAACCACAGGAGTTACATACTGAGTTTTTGTTTTTGTTTGCTTTGAGCAAGCTAGATGGATGTTCTGGCCATTATAATGTGAAACCACTTCTTTCTTTACAGTATTTGACCAAATTTGTGTGTCTCTGATATTTGTAAATACATGCAATATCTGTATTTCTTATCATAAACCTATTTAGTTTTATTCTCAGTAGGGTTTTTCGGACTGTACAGTGTTTATATGATCTGAACTCCTTATACATAAGAAGGTGTGTATATTAATCCAATTATGGACTTAAATATTTTAAAATATAAATACCCTTATTTGCTGCAAAGACCAGTGTGTAGACATTTGCTTTTTAGCAATATTTTTAAGTGCTCCATTTTAATGCCAAGGAGTAAGTCTTTTGGCAACACAAACTGGTCAATAATAGGTAATGCAGGTATGTTCAGGTTAGACCAACAGTGTTTTGCATTTTTATGGTTCTTTTCTGTCAACACTAATGAAGTCAACATTGCCTGAATGTCTGAATAATGAAACACATCCCTGTTTAAAAGTATGTAACTGAAAAAGAAATAAAAAATAAAGGTAGTTTTTCTAAACTTGCTCTTTCCCCTTTCCTCTAATCATGAATAGTGCCATTCTCTATGGGAGGAATTTCAATAACTCAGTTCATTTAGACTGTTATATGTGGGAAGCAGAGGTAAAGGAATATGCTTTTGGTTTTTTGTTTGTTTGCTTGTTTGATTTGGTTTGGTTTGGTTTTGCTTTTTGTTGGAACACATACCAGGAAGGATCTAAGATGTCTTTGTTTTGTTCTGTTTTACATTTCTCTAAACTACTGAATAGAGCAATTAGGTAAAGCTATCTTGTAATAAACTAAGATAGTTAAACAATTTTACTCCATTTTGAAAATGAAATCTTACTGCTATATTCTTAACTCAGCATTATTAATCCAGTTCTAAATGAATAATTTAAAAATCGTTGCAGATAGCACATATTTGGGGCAGTATCTCAGTTTATCATTATGCTAGGACCTCACTCTACTCTTTTCATTTTCCATGTAAATGATAAAGTGGCTTTTCAGAAGCCTGAGACATTTTCCCTACTGGCTTAGTAGGCACAGTAAAAACAAAGAGCCATTTTTCTCAACAGTTCCAACAAAATCCCAATGCTGCCATTTCCCTCCATTGGTTTACATGCCCAGTGCAGAGAGAATTACTATGGAAAAGGGAATGTTATTTTCTCAAAGATTTCCTGTCATGGGTCCTCCTTTAGAAGACACTTGGACTAAGAAATGAGATTGAAGAGGTTTTACCCCAAAATAAAGGATATTGTAATCAGAAGGAGAATGAATAACTACTGGGCAAAATAAATAGAAATTGAGGCTCTTTTATATTTATGCAATGAGAAAACAAATTTCCACAAATATTTTATTAATGAAATTCAAAATATATTAACACTTGAATGCACTTTTATAATACCAGTCTAATGTTAAGTCTTAATGTTAAGAATTTAATTATTTTGAAGGGTTAATATTTAATTTTAACAGTTTAGTGGTTTTTGAATTAAAGAAAATTTCCTCTGCAGTATTATTGAGGTTCAAAAATGCAATTGGAACTATAGTTAAGTTTGGATAATCAGTGCAACTTTGTGTTAGGTTGAAGATCTTCTTCTTTAAACCTGACAACATGGAGATTGTGTAGACCAACTTGATGTTACTTGCATTTCATACAGCATTAGTTATCAAAGTGGCTTTATTGCAGTGTGTCACATGAAGGTGCTATTTTATTTTGCATTGAAACTTCAGTGTTGAATTTATGAAGAAACATTCTCAAGTCTGCAGCAAAAGCAAATTTCCAAACCCATCCAATATTCAGAAACAGTAACTGAGTGTGATTCTTCTTATTCATAATAATTTCAGTCTTTTTCCAAGGTAAAAATAAAAATAAAACTATGCCTATGCCATCAAATTGCTGTGTAGTTGGGCCAGTCAGGATATTCATCTTTGATTTCTGATAAAACTTAACAGATCTTATGATAGTTTAAAGGATAGTTTTCACAAAATACCTACTGGTGGATAGCACAGTGTGTAACTATCAACTTCAAAGCTTTGTAGATCTGTTCAGCTGTGTGTGTGTGTGTGTGTGTGTGTGTGTCTTTCCTACTTCACCTATATTTCTGCCACCATCGCTTGCAAAATAGCAGATTCCATTTCAGGTTGTACTGAATTGGTAATTTCTTCTTTAAAAATATTGTTCCATGTAGATTGTTCTTAAAAAGCTCATTTCAATCTTAACATTGATTTCTTAAGTAAACATTCACTAGGCAGGATTGGTAACATCTGCTGACTCATCAGAAGCCAAGGAGAACTTGAAATCACTTGCTTATTTTTAAACTGATGATTGACACCGCAGTGACCTAATGTCTTCAAGCAAGTGTTAATGCTAAAAAGTTAGTAGTCATAAACAAGTTTGTTTTCTATGGACACACTTTCTGGCTGCTGCAAGAAAACACAATTAATTTGAACTCACCATTAGTAAATAGCTTTTTTGTTTGGCTAATAAGCCACTTAGTTACTTTGCACTTTTATTCTCATTTTTTATGTGTGAATAAATTCTGCTGTGATGACATGTTTTAGTTGTCTAATTGTTCTGACTGTTGCTTTCTAGTTATTTGGAAATACTGTGAACAGCACTTACTGTACTAATGTTGACGTATACTATAGCACAGCTAAAGTATGATTGCATAGTAAATACAATGCTTTGCCATGTAATTATATAACAAAATAGTCCACATTACATTGTGCCTTAAAAGCACAGCGCTCTTTGACATGATGAATATGCACTAGTAATAAAAAATAATAAAATATTGGCATGACAATACTGTGGCACTTGAAGTTCTGTTGAGTTTTTACTGAGATTGTTAGTGCATTGAACAGCATTGCAGAGCAATGAGAGCACCACGTAGGGTGTTTGTCAGAACTATTCAACTCTGCTTTTGGAGCATGAAGCCACAGAAAATAAGTTAACAAATGAGTATGGCTGTATTCCAGTGAAATTTTATAGATGCTGATCTATATTTTATACAATTTTTATGTGTCATGAAATGCACTTTGTTTTCAACCATTAAAAAATGTAAATACCATTCATAGTTCATGAGCTGACCAAATACAGGAAGTAGGCTGGATTTGTTTTGCAGACCGTAGTTTGGCTATCTGTTTGTTCTAGGCTTCACTGAACAGATGTCAATATTTAAAGTAAATTATTTATATCTAATTGAATGAAATTACTTACCAAAGGATGATCTTTCCTCCCTGTCATAAAAGAAAGGAACATTTTGAAATAATACCAAGAATTATAATATTTAAAAAAGGTACTGCTGTATGTATGGAAGTTATAAATGAAGCAGATAAAGTAAATCTATGTGAACTTGGATTTTGTGACAGTGTGTAGTTTCACAAAGAACATGAATATAGGGATCAGACAGATGTAATCTGAATCCAGGTTTTTTCACTTGTGGAAACTGGCTAGTTATTTGACTTCTTTGCCCTTTTCTCTCCTCAGGTTGGAGATAATACCTACAGTGCGGCATGTTGTGTGGATTAACAGAAATCTTTTTAATGTATTAAATAGTATATAGAGAGATTTCCATCCAAATGTATTAACAAGTTCTGGCTCCTGGATTAGAAATCGTTAATGGCTGAGACTATATACCTGTGCTGAGTACTTATTCCTTAAGAAAGCCACTTTGGTAAAGTAGGATAGCTTCCTTTGTCCACATTTTAAGTCAGAAGTGGCTCCGAGTTTTAGGTTTTGTGCAGAATTATTGGTGGTTTTGGGTAACTGTGATTCTCAGCTAATAGAAAATAAAACTCAGAAGGAAAGATGGCCTGATGGGCTGAAGTCAAGAGGGCAGCCTCAGGACATAAGAGTGCTGCAGATGAAGACTTGAACTCTACAGGTACATAAACCTGGAGTGGTTTAAACTTTGTTCTGATACTTTTGGCTATAGGACCTTGGGCAAGTTGTGACTCTCTCTAAGCCTTAGTTTCTTCTTTCAAGAAAGAGGTTAATAAAACTCGTTTAATGGAGTTTTGATGAGGAAGATGTGATATGTTAATTGTAGGAAAGTTCCTGCTTCACTGTAGGTACTCACCAAATGATAGGCTATTTTGGGTTTTTTATTTAAGCCAAGGAAAAGATGATGATGTGGAAACACTAACGGCACATTTTGTCAGTGTGAAACTATGGCATGTGTTTATAGTATTCACATCTCTGCAAGTATGACATTTGTAGTGAGCAACAAATCAATGGGAAAATTGAATTTATTTTGTGAAAACAAAAGTCTTCTGTGAGATGGTAATGATTTCACTAAGTTGGTAAATATTCCTCAATTTTTGTCCTCTTCAACTCACCAGTGGTACAGTGAGCTCAGAGAAAGATCCTTTATGTGAGGGACAAACTACTAACTAGCTGTGTCACTCAATATTTCTAGGCCTCAATTTCATCTCTATAAGGAAACACTTTCATGAAATTAAATGACTCTATGAAGATGATTCCCTTAGTCTTTGGCATCTTCACAGTACGTGTTGATAAAATGAAATGATAGATGTGGAAGACTTACTTTTCTGATTATGCCAACCTGGTTTCCCTCCTTGTTATGGCTTATATCCAGCTGTAGCCCCAAAGCCTCATGCACTCATAGGTGAGGCTTTGGGAGGTGTCTGGATCATGGGTGAATGATACTGCATTAGTCCACTGATTGGCTTAGCATAGTTCTGGGTGTGGATAATGGTTTTACTGAAGAAGGAAGATCCATCTTGTGTGTGGGTGACATCAACTAATAGGCTTATAGCCTGGATGAAATAAAAAGGGAAAGAAGAAAGACTCTGCTTCCTGCCTGCCACCTCATGAAATGTTTCTCCTCTGGCATGCCCATCTGTCGTGTCATCCTGCCTTGGAACCAGTTAACTGTGGACTGAAACCTCTACAAACTGAGTTAAAATAAACCTTTTCTTTTTCAACTTGTGAGTGTCAGGAATTGTGTTCCAGCAACAAGAAAGTAACTAAGACACTCATACCTAGGCCCACACCTGCTTGTCACTTGATAGATTCTTCCCTCAGTAAAAAACACAGCAAACCCCCTCCAATCATAAAACATAAGCAGAATAACCTCCTTGATTCTGCTGTCCTATCCAATTTTTCCTTTCTCCTTTCTTTGCCCTATAACATTCTCAGGCCTGGATTGACTTGGTAACATGGCCACTGTGTGGCCTCTAAGGCCCTGCCCCCAATAACTTTGGAAGCCAAAGTTGGGATGATAAATGCTATACCATTTCATCTCACTTGAAATTGAATTTTTGTGTCCTGTGGGTACTTGTAGATATGTGTACATATAACAAAAAATGGAAAAATTGTTAGAAATCAGATGATAAGTTTATTGGCTAAAACCCATCTCCTGATGTCCCCAAGTTAATTAATAGATTCTTTTTATAGGACAGTGAATAAAAGGTTCAGAACACCAACTGGCAGATTCAGAGAGGCTTTTCCATTTTACTTAATACAAAATGATTATTGGATATTATCACTAGTTTCTCAGT